AAAAAAAAAACCCTCCTAGTTTTACCTCACAGGGTTGTTAAAATAAGATGATATCATGGCAGCCAAAACTATTCATCCACTTTACACTGCAATATCAAAGCTATGGGCTGGTGTTATTAAAGAGGCTTCAAGCTGTAGTTAGGAAAGCATGGCATCTACGATCTGCAAACCTGGATTAGGTCTCCCCTCTGACATATATGGGCTGGTGGCACTAGGAAATCACCTCCCTGAGCCCCAACTGCTTCACCTGTAAAGTGGACCTAATAATCCCTGCCCTACTTCACAGTTTGCTGTTAACTAAAACAGTGCATGTCAACTGTGACCAGTAACATGCTGTATAAATGATTATTAACCCTGAAAGGACAAACGTAAAGTGTCAAGTGCTGACTGGGGCGCAGGCTCAACTTGGGAGAGTAAAGACTAGATCATAGGGCCGGCCCTGTGGCGCACTGCTACGGTGCGCCGCTTGGGAGCGCGGCGGCGCTCCCGCCGAGGGTTCGGANAAAAAAAAAAAAAAAACTAGATCATAAAAGGATGGGACAACCAACAAAGGTTTCAAAGAGGATGAGTTTTGATTTGGGGGCTTGAAGAAACAGATGAACAGTCAAGTCGATGGCACAGGGTGTGTGCTTTCTGAGCAGAGAGAGTCTATACAAAAGCAGTGTAGGGAGGGAGGGGTGACACATTGTAGAGGGAAACCAAGAGATAAACAAATTGACTTTCTCAGAGAAATGAGGTAGAAGTGAAGCTTCCAAAGAGATCATTATAATAGGAGAACTATGGAAGTTAAGAATTTTAGATTTTATAGGGTCTTGAGCAAGCTAGAGTGTAAAAACCTGAAATAAACTGGTACATTCATTATCTTGTGACATCTTGGTTTCTTATACAATTTAAGGAGTCAGGGGACAAAAAGAGAATCATTAGTTTTGAATGGTCTCAGCAAGCTTTTTGAAAGCCAGGTACTTTTAGCCTGTGTTTGTCTCAGAAGAAGGAGGCATCTGAGCTGGCACTGTTTTGGAAGACAGCATAAGGCCAGTTTGTCAAGCACCTCTGTCCTTATCATTTGGAGCTCCCAATTCCTACCTCCTCACCCAGGCCTGTTGGGGCACGAAACAAGCACAGTTTCCACCTACTATAGCACAGACACCCCCAGTCATGAAAAGTACACAAGAGATGTACTCAGTACAATCCATTTTTGAGGACTGTGCTGCTGGGAGGATATGATTTGCTTCTGGGAGGATATGATTGTTCTCTCTGACTGCTCCTCTCAGTCTCTCTCCATCACAGCTTCCAGAAGGAAGAGAATGATTTCCAATCATTTTGTACAGCATTTGTGCTGCTGGGAGGATATGATTGTTCTCTCTGACTGCTCCTCTCAATCTCTCTCCATCACAGCTTCCAGAAGGAAGAGAATGATTTCCAATCATTTTGTACAGCATTTATGTCAGTGTCACACTCACTAGGAATCCTAGACAGAGATGATGCAAAAACCATGTTATGTGCTCCAGCAATAAGTGTCAGAAGAATCATGGACACCCACAGATGTGCTTCAGGTGTGTGTGAGGCATCCTGCCAATGTACATTAAGTACCATTTACTTTTTTTTCTCTTAGACTGGCCTAGACATCAGGGAGCAGAGCAGAAGCCAGAGTCAGGCTAGTGGAGGAATGAACAGTCACTCCTGGCTCTTGGTCACATGCTTATGGTACTTTGCAAAATCCATGGAACTTAAACTTGTAGAACAGGCATCACCCACATGCTGCCTTCACTGTCACCAAGTAGCCTTATGCCCTCAGGCACTGTGCAAGGTTGGCAGTTGACAGGAATAAGCGGCCTTTGTGTAGGCCCAGCTCCACAGAGAGGGAAGCCTGCCAAGCTTGTGGAAAGTATTTGAAGAGATAACACGAAGCCATCACAGCCTAGAGCTGACAGAGCTCCTAGAGTGAACCTTTAATTACACAAGTAGCTGAGGCCCAGAGAAGTTAAGTAACTGCCCACTATTTGGAATTTCCTTCAGAAGCAAATGACAGTGGAGTTTCCTAGGTAGGCAGACAAAACTGTCATATATTATATATTGATGAAGATGAACTGGGGGAAGAAGGGAAGGAGGCTGTCTTGTTAGTATGCAATAGGAGGACTCAGAACATCTCATGTGCATATTTAGAATAGAAATTATTAATTTCCAACAGAAAAACAAGCCAGGGACTTCTAAAGGTGATTTTTCATTGTTCATTTAATTGGACGACTGGTATTGGGGGAAAAAGCCCTCTCCAATTGAAGTAATTTCCTTAGGCCCCAGGGTCGGTCAGGGACTTGTTGATGATATTATTTCTGTCTTGAGCTGGCAGAAGTCCCAGCATTCAGTGAGTGTGGTAAAGGAACAAGTCCCTGAGGGAAGGCATAATTAGCACCATCAAATCCTATTCACACAGTGCCTGGGCATGGGCTAGCTGCTGAGGGCTTGCTCAAGGCCTCATGAGACTCTGTCTGAGGAGCTGGTACCCTTGACAGAGGCAGGGAACTAGATATGGATGCCAACAGACAAGAGGCAATGGGTAGGTAATTCTAAACAAATACACAGGATTTTCCTTCTTATGTTTGTTTAGGTTGATATAAAGGGAGATTTATTTTCTAGGCAGCAAGGAATGGAGGAAAGGCTATAAGTGGGTAATGGAGAGCTGGATGGAGCAACATCACACATTCTCTACAGCTACAAAATGGTTCTGTTTTGCTGATGGGGGCACTAGAATTCAGAGTTCAGCCCAAGACACAGATGCCAAATAACACTACATTCCATAATGTCTACTTCTGCACATGACCAAATATGCCATGATTCCTAATGAAGATGTTATTTCTTTTTTTGATGAATTTTGTTAATTTTTGTTGTGTTTGTGTTATTGATGGCTGAATAACATTTTGAATGACAAGTAATGCTTTGAAACATTAAAGCTTTTCCATTTACTATTTCATTCTAGACTCAAGCTGGGTATGGTGCAGTCATTTTTATATCTTACAGATGAAGCAAACACAAGACCACAAAGCAGGCTGTGGCTGAGTCAAGACTGGGACATGACTTATCTCACATCTAGCCCGAGGCACTTCCCACCGGAAAGCACTGCCCATGCTGACCTGGCCTCGCTGGGCTCCCCCAGGGAGGGAGGCGCTGACCTGAGCTGCTGGATAAGGTCTTCGCCTTCCTTGATGACGTTGAGTGTGGCATCCAGAGTGGCAGTCTGCTGCTGCTGGAACTGCTTGATCAGTTCCTGGACTGCATCCACGGAGTCCGCACAGACATCCTCCAGCATCTCCTTCTGAAGGTCTTCCATCCATGTCCACAACTGAGGGGGAGAGAGCAGAGACTCCATTCAGGGCAGACTGGAGAGGCCAGGAATGGAAGGGAGGGCAAGAAAGCTGGGCTGGAGTCACCCAACCTACCCTCAACCAGTCAATGCAATGTCAGACTGTCCTTCTCATCAGCACACCTATGAGTCAGTTTGTGTTTGTATATTTATATTCATTACCCATCTTTGCCAAGTTTACTCCATTAGTGTTGGCATTCCCTAAGGATAGAAACCACCCTTGGCTTAATTTCCCTGTGGTTCAGGGAAACCTGAAGATGTGATCTTAGAGGTCTTTGCCAAGTTTACTCCATTAGTGTTGGCATTCCCTAAGGACAGAAACCACCCTTGGCTTAATTTCCCTGTGGTTCAGGGAAACCTGAAGATGTGATCTTAGAGCAAAGAGGTCACTCATCTTTGAGAGACTAGGAAGAACAGAAGACTAGAACAGACTAGTATTATTTTATATTTCAGAAAGGAGGAAAGGGAGGGGTCTGTGCACTTCCTCCAGGTAGACAGACATTGATTCCTAGAAACTTATCATGGTATTACAAATATGCAAAAAAGAATGAGGTTCTCAACAAGAACCAAATGAAGATTTGCTTGGTTGGCTAGAAAGTTGAATGCTAAAGATGTAGTGCATCTTAATCTCAATAGAAGTATGAGACATTTCCCCATGATATTCAAGATGATGATATGTAACTGGGACGATATGACTGGTCAACTTTAAAAGAGCTAAGTAGAGTGTTTTGAACAGAATGAGCACTGGAAATGATGAGGAGTTGAATGGAATTATTGAAAACTGATTAATTTATAGTTCTTCATACTAAAAATAGGTTTCCAGTGGCCTGCCACAAGGCTCCACTTTTGACTACTCTTACTGAGTATTTTCATAAATGATTAAGAGGAATATAAGTCTTGTGTGTGCTTTGAAACCATGAGTCTTCACTTGGCTAGTGGAAAAGATAAGCTCAGGGCTCTACCAGGAAGCCAGCAGAGAGAGAAAATTGATAGATGGAGTTAGAAGATGTGGATTTTGGCCCCTGTTCCTCCCATAATTTGTGGTGCCTTTGAACAATCACTATACCCTTTGATCTCCATGACTTCATGTGTAAAATAAGCTGTAGGAAAGCATAAAGTAAAATGGTTAGTTAATTTCTGGTTCTAACATCTTTAAGTCTTCCATGTTAAAACATAGATAAATATCCACCTCAAGAATATTATTTCATCTAGGTGGTTCTCAATATGGTAGATCACAGTATGGCCTTTGCAGTAAGGGATAAAGAAGGGCGGGGAGGTGAGACAGAGAGAGTCTTCAAGACGTTGGACAAGTTTTCTTTGTTCTTTATATAGGAGAAGCCCTAGATGTGCAGAAGGAGAAGATTAATAAACTCTAAGTCTCAACAGAGGACAGGCACTGGGAAGGCATTGAGACTGAAGACTAGAGTAAGGCCAGAACTCACCGTGACAGGAATGAAAGAGGAAAGAGGCTATGGGTACCTTAAGGATGTTATTTTATTTAAAATAATGTTGTTCTCAGTACCACCCTTGAGCTAATTTAATGGCTTCATAGCTTGGACGTTTTTGTCTGTTTGTTTTGGTTTTGTTGTGCTGTCATTGTTACTGTTTTTAATAGAAACCCGAACACCTCTGGTGCAGGTCTAGGACAGAAAGTCAGCATCTTTCCCCTCTGAAGAAGCCCACCATGACTCATGACACTCCCTCCTCCTGGTGTCATGCAGCTAAATTGTACGGACAAAGACAAAAATTGCCAAATGAAAATGAGGTGTCAGCTTTGTAAACATAAAGGTTTCTTGAAAAAGACTTCTCAGTATTACTAGAGAAGTGTGTCCTCCCCCAAAATATTCTTTGATTAGTGAATTGAAACATGTCTCAGATTTCTGTTCATATATTTTACCATATCATAAAAAATGTCTTGTCTAAGGTAGAGTTAGAACCTACTGTTAAGGAAAATCAGCTAAGAGAGAAAAAAGTACAGCTCTAGATGCAGCTCCGTCCAGTGGTTACCAGCCCAATAAGAAAGGAAGGGAGCCTCTCTACCTTCAGAAGGATAAAACATCAAATAAAAATTGCTAGTGATTCAAAGAGAATTTGACTCAGAGATAGGGAAAGGGGTTGCAGCACGGGAGACAAAGGATTAGTGACATCTTTCTCTATTTTTCCATCTGTTAAAAGACAACAGCAACAAAAGAGAGGGATAGGAGTTCTTGGGTGGAATTGAAATTTACTGGGGATAATTCTTGATTCTGCCCTTGTCTGCCTAGCTCTGTAATCTCAGGAAAATTACCTTATTCAATTACTTCATATTTAATATGAAGTGTGTGTGTGTGTGTGTGTGTGTGTGTGTGTGTGTGTGTGTGTGTGTGGTTTCTATAGCTTGTCTTCCAGCTCTAACATGCTATGCTTTCTCTTCAGAAGTTGATGTAAAGAAGAGGGCACTGATAGAAATGCTTTTCTAAGCTGAAAAATTGCAGGCCTGCCTTTGACACCAAGACATCCAAAGTCCAGAAAGTTTAGCATCAGTTTGAGGATGATTGTTAAGATATTATTTAAGAGCTGGAAAGCTTGAGCAGGGAGTCACTTGAAATCCCATGAGAACCCATGCAAACAATCATTGCCTGGTGTCAGGAAACTTAAATCGCAAGCTCATCATTTTGATTAAGCACCTCTGAGACTTTGTACCATAAAGTAGGTAGAAATAAACATTGGTATTGCTAAACCATGAGTAAGGGTCAATAGTCCATTTCTTAGACTGTAATTTTCTTACAATCTGAATGTCTTATAACCACCAAAAAATTATTAACTATAGTTACTTAACAGTGCTATAGAAGACTAGAACTTATTATTCTCTAGCTGTAAGTTTGTATCCGTCAACCAAACTCTCCCTATACCCCTCAGACTCTCTTTTTTATTAAAATGTAGCTGTACTGTGACCCATCCTTTTAGAGGCCTGTTCTCTGCTTGGCAATGATTACTTGTTCTGTGCTGATACACATGAATACACTTAGATGGCTTTGTGCATTCTTTCTCTCAGAAAACACATGTGGTTTTGACCAAAAACCTGTATCTCTAAGAATGGGCCTAATTTGAGAAATTCTAAATTCTTAACTCTGCCCCTCGGCAGTGGCAGAATTAAGGGAGCCTGTCAATGCCCTATATAAGGTTAGCCCTAATAGTGAAACCAGTGAGTTCAGGAAGGGCCAGCCCACAGACCCTATCCTGCTTGCACAGTAGGGCAGCCTAAGAAGCGGACAACTGAAAAAGGCAGCAAGGGAGGGAACCAGGAGGTCTGGAAAACTAATGAGGCTCATGGATAAGTGATTAAGGAAAGAGGTCATTTTACTTCACCAGTTCCTCTTGTCGACTGGCTGTTCCATTTGTGCAGCTCTAGAAGCCACTGTGCTGATACAACTGACTGACCCCCAGGCATGTTGAAGGAGCGCCATTTCCACAAGGTGAGCCTCCCCCTCCCTCATTTTCTTTGGCATCAACTACCAGCTTTTATTTCTTAATAAACACCACAACAGTTTGGCAATTGAAATAGAAGATGGATAAAGCTGTTTTGTTCTTGAGGCCATCATCACTTTTGAAGACTGATTTAGTTTTCGTTCTAGGACAGGTAGGTAGATGAGCAGGTGTATATGTGAGTGTTTGTGGTGTGTGTGTGTACCTATCTGAGCAGGAAATGCTGACAGAAGGATTGCACAAGGAGAGAAACAAATGGAAGTCGGTATTTACTTGAGCTGTCTAATAAAGAGTTGGTTACTTTGGCCAGGTTTCTTAGTTAATTTGACTTTCATATTCTTACTACAAAAATATCTTAAAATGGATATTTTGGAAGCCCAGTAATTGCATCATTTCCATGGAAACACAGCAAGGAAAGAGAATTCTGTGTGAACAATCTGGCAGAGCAAATGACACTTGCTACAAATGCCTTGTCCCTGGACAAAGAGAACGAGCAGGTGGATCAATGCTACTCCCTCCACCCTCTCTAGCTTGCCAGACCAGCAAACAGAGCCAGGTGCCCTCACAGCTCCAGGGGAAAAGAAGATATTTGAAAGTTCAGCACAGTTTGTATTAATAACTGAGGCTCTGGACACATAAGAAGGTCCCAAGTATGTGGTTGTCATCTCTCTTTATTGAGCAGCTCTTTTAAGTAGAAATGAAAAGTTTTGTTTTTGAAATATAACATTAGGATTTTTCCTGATTAGAAATTGAAAATATCATTGAAGAAATCTTGTAAAAGAGAAAAATATGCAAAAAAAAAATTAAATCACCCATAACATTCTTAACTTCTTGGTATATTTATTTCTAGCCTTTATTCTATGTGTGTAATCAAAATTGTGGTCATGCTGAATATACAGTTGTTTATTATTCCACAGGTGCTTCCTCATGTTTTTAATGATCTTTGGCAATATGATTTATAATGACTGTGTAATATTTCACTATATAGATGGAGTGTGGTTTGTTAACGCATCACCAAATGTAGAACATTTAGATAATCTTTATGTATGACATTGTGATTAAATGGTTACATGGTTTTAACCCTCCCGACTTCTATAGTAGTAGAGAATCCACAAAGCAAGGCCAATAGGATTAAGCAGACTCTTCAATCTGCAGAAGAAATGAGCCTGGAGATTTTCTTTTTATATCTTTCTTTTGTTTCCTAATCAGAGGATACTAATTAGAGTAAACCTTCCAATGTGTAACATGGGCAAAAGTAAAATTATGAATTTCAGCAGGGGAATCACAGAAAGTCCAGAGTAAGTCATTTATGAAAACAGATATTCAGTTCACACTCAGAAATTTCCTACAAAGGGGGCTTTCTTTCCATGAAAATTACATCCTACAACAGCATTCTATTACACATTGGCACTAAGGCAAAAACTTGGCAAATTATTATAGGAAAAAAGTGAAAGAAGGAGGAAAAATAGAAAGAAGGATGGAGCTAGCTATATCAAAGCAGTAAGGATCTATAACAGTGTTTATTAGCAACACCCAAGGCCACCTAGCAAGGGTGAGCAGATGATCTTCCTTCCATCCACCATAAGAGGGAAAACAACGGGGGCAACTCAAAATTCCCTAACAGACTTGACAACTAATCCTGCCTTGAATAAAAAGCCAAAAGTTTGCCTATAAAGTCAAGAGGAAGTAGTCAAGAGTTAATGGACCCAAGATCAAATAGGACCCACACTTAGCAAGGTTGAGAAGTGACAAGTCTTGAAAGGGATTAAACAGAATATGGAAAACTCAAAACACAGGAGTTCTTCTATTAGACCACTCAAGGATGCTCACTTCTGCCCACCTGACAATCCATTTCTGCCTGCTCTATAGGTCCTGGGAAAGCTACCATTGGCAATTCAGATTCCTCACCCTGACCCCTTTTATTTATATTGTCTGCAGAGCTCAAGTCAGTGAACTGGAGTAGATGAAAGATGTGGTTATCTGGGCTTTCCCTCTCTTTTTTCCTTCCTTTTTTTCTTTTCATTTTCTTAGGAGAGACTACTAGTTCTCCATTGTCAAGTAAACTCATTCATTCCATATTTATTCAGCACCTTTAGACATAGTGGCAGGGATATACAGTAGTATTTATATCTACGCATTTACAGCCACATGTATAATGTACATATAAGTGCTCCCAATTTAGTGAGGAAAGACAATCACAGCTCAGCACCTGGCATCACCAATGGAGGTGGTACCTGGTGCTCTGGTCCTGTCTGGGTGTGGAAGTTGGAAGCACCAGGGATGAATTTCAAGAAAAAATGATCCCTGAGTTGAGTCTTCAGGTTCCTTAGTAACCCTACTTTCAAGATGCACTAAGGATCATTGCGGCTCTATTTACAATAGACAATATTGTAATTATAGAACCAATCTAAATGTCCATTTACAATAGACAATATTGTAATTATAGAACCAATCTAAATGTCCATTGACGGTAAGGAAAATGTGGCATACACACACACACACACACACACACACAATGGAATACTACTCAGCCATAAAAAAGAATGAAATTACAATAGACAATATTGTAATTATAGAACCAATCTAAATGTGGCATACACACACACACACACACACACACACACACAATGGAATACTACTCAGCCATAAAAAAGAATGAAATTCTGCCATTTACAGCAACATGGATGAGCTTGGAGAAAATTATGTTAAGTGAAATAAGCCAGGCACAGAGGGAAAAATACTGCATGTCCTCACTCATAAGTGGTAGCAAAGAGATAAAGAAGGAAGGAAAGACCACAGTGGTGTGTTGGACTTGCAGAGGGAGAGAGCATACCTAGTGTTGCCAGGGGTGGAGGGGGGGAAGGGGAGAGGGTGGGTGGCGGACATAGGGAATAACTGCAATTTGTGGTAATGGGCATGCTGATAGTATTGATCTGACCATCACATCTTGGACACTGGTGGTGATGGTCAGCTTTGTGTCCCATGAATATGCATAATCAATTTTTAAAAAATCAGTTCTACAAGGCACAGTTAAAAAAAAAAAAAGCTGAGCAGGATTGTGTAGGGAAAAAAAAAGATGCACTAAGGAAAATTTGGGAGGGAATTCACATACTAGGAAAAAGAATGGGTGTTAGTATTGTACTACTTTATTTTATAATAATCATCCTCATAATTATTATGAAGTAACAGATTAAATAATTCTGCCAAAGGCCAGTAAACAACTAGAGCTGGATATCAGACATACCTGGCATCCAAGATCTTGCTGTACTTAGTATGCATGTATGTATGTGTATGCATACATACACATGTGTATGTACGGTCATGTGTACACATATACACATATGCCTGTGTGACTGCATGGCCAAATATGCACACTTGTCTTATTCTCTACCCTGCCTTGCAGATCATTTAAAGAAGGTATCATATAGCCTCGTTTGGGTGGAAAGGTGACTGAAAGGGAACATGCAGATCCTAAGTCCTGCTGCATGGTCCCCTGTGAAAAGCTCCTCTGTGGCAGCCATTCAAAATGGTGCTTTTCTTTCCATCCTGAAAAAAAATTAAAATTGGTATGATCTGAGAGTTTCAGATCTCTTGAGTAGAAAGATCCTCATAAGCACACACCCCTTTGTATCCAGGCAGGGCTGCTCCTAATTTCTCTCATATTTTGGGATACAGGGGAAAGAGACTATGCTATTTCTTGAGAGTCTCCTGTTTGAATGAATCCCTTGATGAAGAAAACTCCCCAAGTCTCTATTTACTAGACTTTATATGAAAGTCTTAGTGGCAAATGAGAAAAAGCATGGGCTTTGGAGTCAGAAAAACTTGGAATCAATTTCTATACTTACCGAATCCTACCTATAAAACACTGGGCAAATTATTAATATCTCTAAACCTTGGTTTTCCCATTCATAAAACTGGAGTAAAAAAATGACAGTTCTCATGGCCATTGATTAGACAGCCTAGCACATATTAGGCTCTAAATAAATTTCAGTTCCCTCTCTCTTTCTTCACCTGTCCCCAGTATCACACTGCTCCCTTAGTACTACTTAATATGAATGTGACTATATAAGCTGAGTCCAAGCGGGAAAACAAGTCTCAGGTTCAAATAGAACCAAGCTTAGCAGTTCTGAGAGATATCCAGGAAAACAGTGATTAATAACTTCAGCCCTGACTATTCCTGTCTCCTACACCCCCAACCCTGGCAACGATTACATTTCTCAGCCAGGATCTACCCTCTTGCTACCCTACCTGCTATAGGGCTTAAAATGTAAAGAGAAAAAAGAAGAGTAAGAAGAAGGAAGAAGATCAGAGGAAAAAAGGAAATACAAGAGGAAAAAATGGACAGAGTACGGGTAGCAGTTAAGAGTACAAGTGTAGTATTTAGGAAGACAGGTAAAATTTCAGCTATACTACTGAGAAACTCTAATCTTAGACAAATTATTTTCTGAGGCGTCCCCATTTGAAAATATGTTTAATAAAATCTAAATCATAAGATTATCATGAAGATTACATGAGATGATATATGCAAGTGTCTGGCAAGTAGCAGGAACCCAATTTAAAAAAAAACGACTTAATATATATTGGGTTTTTATAATGAGCCAAATCAAGGCTAGGTAAATCACCTATGCTATTTCAGGCTTAATTACTATTATTATTAATTATTATTATCAACATCAAATAAAGAAGAGGAAGAGGAGAAGAAAAAAGAAAGAAATCTTGGATTCATATTAGAATTATAAGGTGCCTTTGGGACACCAAGTCCGACTGCCTAATTTTATAAATGAGGGAACCCAGGGCCAGGGACACAGTGACTTGCACAAGCTCATATGGTTCTTGCAGCAGAATCTAGACTAGAATCCCAGCCTACCAGCACCATAGACAGAAGGTGGGAGAGGTAGCTAGAAAAGGGTCTTGGAAGCTGTGGTCACTCCTTGGGGAACGGTAGTTCCATGGAAACTGACCTTGTCCACCACCTCCCCATGCAGCCGGCACTCCCACAGCCCTCATGAGAGCATGACTCCTGTTCATTCATGCTCCATTCCATCATCCACAAGCTTGTAATTAAAAGGGAATACACATGCCTTTGGTTACAGAGACCATCATTAAGAATCTGGTAAGCCACAAGCAAGCATACAACCATGCAGGAAGCCCTGGATTAAAGCTAATCCCCTTGCTTTAGAGACACTCCTCAGAGAGTGGCTGTGGGTCCCATGGAGAGGAATCAGAGCCAGCTTTGGGGAGCTTGCCAGCCCTTCATCTGCCTGGGGAATCTCAGTTTAGAAAACATTATCTTTTCATGTTTTTCTCTGATAGGTGCCGCAATGATTTGCATTCATTCCCCCAAAGTGTCAGAAAACTCTGTGAAGTAGTAACAACCAGGCTTTTTAATGCATTCCCAATATCAAAAATCAACCTAATTAAGTAGGGTTAATTTTTTTTTCCTGAGCAGCAATCAAACTTTAATTAATACACTATTAAAACAAATTCCTGGGGGAACACAAGCATGCATACACCTAATGAGTTCATCTGCCAAGGGTGTTATTACAGAAGATGCTAAATGTGACTCCTTTCTGGTCACTTACTCAATTTCAGAGTCCCCCAAGTTACTCAGAAATGAAAAGCAATCACAGGTTTGCAACCCTTCTCCACTCTATGGGATCCCTCTGCCTTGCCAGCAATTTAACATAATCCAGTCTCTCCTCTCCTTTCTCTGCTTGGTGAATGATTCAGTCTGGATTTAAGCCCAGCTGGTTTCCTCCTGTGAGAAGGGCATCTCAGTCCCCCTTGGTTCACTACCTGTCACTCCACATTCAGGAAAGGTGAGGACCAACTTCAATATCACCCTGCCACAGACCTGACCACATTAAGAAGATTACATCTCTTGTTTAAAAATAAAATAAAAACATAGAATACATTTGCAAACTCTTCATGCTCCTTGCTCGTAGCAAAGATACCTGATCAAAGTTCTGCTGGACTCTGATTTCTGACAGAAAACAGCAATCAGGAGAAATTGGGTGTGGGGTGGGAAAACAGTCTGTGCCAATCTTACATTATCTCTTGCAGTGACTATTTCTATACCAGGGATCCCTATATTTCTCCAGCTACAGATTGAATGCTCTAACGGACCCCAAACCACCTGCCTCCACAGCCCCCTTCCTCATTAGAGATGATGAAAGGAAATTTTGCCCCATTTTGGTAGAGACCTAAATGTAGGTTATCAGCAGCAAATTGTTAATATCATCAAAGTTAGGAGGCTAGTAACCCCCAGGCCACCCAGGACCCTGGTCAGAGTTTGGGGCCATTTTACTAGGAAGCCCACTGATCCTGCCAGGACTGAATGCCCTCTCGCCATCACCCCCCTTACCTCCTTGGTGTGAGTGTGGAAGGAGACAGACATGTCCAGGAGAAGCTTTCGCTGTTCTACCCTGCGCACAAAGTCTTGGATGCGCACCTCCAGATGTCGAGCTGCCTTGTAGATCTCCTCGGGGTCACATTCCCCCGTCTGAGCCAACTGTTCCGCTGCTTCTAGGAGCTTGTCCGCATTGGTGTATGTATTCTGCCAGCAACAACAGTGAGGCAAAGTCAACTTGCAGTCAGGAGAGGAGCTTCGCGCCTTCCCACTGCCCACCCTGGGGCTCCCCAGAGCTGGAGCGGAGGGGCACTGGCATTGAGCTGACAGCTCCCTGATCTGGCACCAAGTGCTGTGTGTGGGGCTGGCACACCACCTCTCAGCAAGCTAGCAGCCTGCTTGGCTGTTCCCCCAAGCGGGCGTTAGCTAGGTGCCTCACCCACCCCTGGGATTTCTCAGAGGTTCAGCCTCCCTGGAAAGAAGGAGGGAGACCTGCAAGAACCTCCATAACCCACCCACTCCCTATCACCCACCCCTGCGAAGACCCATTGTCGCCCTCACATCTCTGGCTGCAACTGCCAGAGCCAGAAATAGCGCATCCACAGAAAGGGGCTGTGCTTGTATGTGAGAGCACCAGGAAAACACTAACTGGGAGACTTGCTTTGCATTGCCTGCAACTAGTGGTGTTTATCTTTTGGAACAGAGCTGTCTCTTTGGAGAGGAAGGGGTCAGCAACTCCAGGGAGTGGGCAGAAGGAGCGGCCACAGTCAGAGGGAGGAGATACAGGCTATTCCCTGCACACCCAGGGAAGGCTTAATGTCTACAGGAAGGTTGGGAAGGAGTCTGGTGATTTTGTTTATCATAAGCTACTGCATGCCCACGCACACACGCATTCACACACACTCCTCCAACTCTCTGTCTGTACACACTGTGGTATCCTCCAGAGCATTTTAGAAGGCAACCAACTTGTAATTATTATTCATCAGGTTGGGAGTCGCTGCCTTTTAATAGTTATTTCATTATATGTCATGGATGCAAATTTTCCTCTGCAGGCTTCCCTTTAAAAAAAAAAAAACAAACTCCTGATATATTCTGACTTGGAGCTGTTGACTAAGGTGTATGAATATTTCTTAATATATGGGAGTCGCTGCCTTTTAATAGTTATTTCATTATATGTCATGGATGCAAATTTTCCTCTGCAGGCTTCCCTTTTAAAAAAAAAAAACCAAACTCCTGATATATTCTGACTTGGAGCTGTTGACTAAGGTGTATGAATATTTCTTAATATTCTTAGAGTCAGTGTAATGCCCTACAGAGTAGTGAATAAGTGGTTACTGTTGACAATGTGAATCTGAAAGTAGAAGCAGTCAGTACCAAACACAAAGTGAGTGGAATATTGAAATGGATTTATGAACTATGACTGTATGGTGCTTTGCTTTGCCCATAAAGATGTGGCCTCCATGCCTCCATGGAGTTTTGGGGACTCACCCAAAGACCTTGGTTGTTATATCCAGCCCCTCAAAATTCACATGTTCAAGTCCTAATCCCCCAACATCTCAGAATGTGGCCTTATTTGGAAATAGGATCATTACAGATGTAATTAGGTATGTTAAGATCAAATCACAGTGGAGTAGGGAGGGCCCGTAATCCAACATGACTGGTGCCCTTATAAAAAAAACACATGTAAAGAGATAGACACACACACAGACAGAACACCATGTGACGATAACTGCAGAGATTGGGCGATGTATCTACAAGCCAAAGAATGCCAAAGACTGCCAGCAAACCACCAGAAGTTAAGAGAAAGGCATGGAGCAGATTTCCCCCTCATATCCCTCAGAAAGAACCAACGCTGCTTTATCTTGGACTTCTAGATTCGAGAACTGTGAGAAAATAAGTTTCTGCTGTTTAAGCCACGCAGTCTGTGGTGCTTTGTTACAACAGCCCTAGGAAACTAATCCACTGGGGTTGAACCTTTCCGAGGCTATTGACTCAGGCTCTTGATTGTGCTGGCATGGAACCTGGAGAAGATGGGTCAGCCATTAGCAAACACTTGTGTTGGCTTTTGGGAATTCCCAGAGAGGCCCCAGGGGATCCTTCAGGAATGCTGCCTGAAGAGCAACCACCCAAGGCAAACACTGTCCCAATGCTGACAAGATGAGGCTTAGAGGGAGAAAAAATCATTCGGCCTCAAGTGGGAAATTCATGGACAAATGGAGCAGCCTTGTGTGAGGAAACGAGCTTTGCCACCGAATTAAAGAAGGGTATGTCACTTCTGGAAAGCAAATGAAGGAAGTCATTCAGAGTCATGAGAGAAATGCAAATAGAGACGGGGAGTGACAGGCGGGAGTAGACATCTGGGGCTGTGAACCAGGTTAAGAAAGGCTCTTATGGGGTTATCCACAATTTCTAGAGGTTTCTTTTAGGAATCCTTTAAATCTTCCATCTTAAGCCCTAAGGAATCTCAGGAAGCCCCCAAGAAACCCGGACGTTGTGACTTTATATTTTCTAGATAATAACTAAAAAATTGTGTCAAAGCCAAAGTAAGCTTGCTTGCAAGGTAGGTTTGGGACCAATGAGATAAATAAAAAGCAAAACAGAAGTGCCTACTGCATGTTAAGGTAACTAACTTATCCTGGTTTTTCCAGGACTTTCCTGGTGTTAGCACAGAAAGTCCTGTGTCCCAGAAATCCCCTCAGTCCTGGGAAAATTGAGATGGCTGGTCACTCTAATACATACCCAACACTGTAAGTATCTCAGGAGTACAGATATGTATAAAATGTATTCTGTCTCAAAGGAGAATAAAGTTATTCTTGACAGAAATAACATGACAACACATATAATGTGGCAAGCAACATAATAATAGATAAATAGAGGTTAAAGTTCCTTGACATTATATAGGTGCTGAAAACAAAATAAGTAAAAAGTGGGAAGAATGGCCAAGAATTACTGAATATTTTTCACATGCCAAGGACCATTCCAAAGGCTTTTATGCATATTATCTCCTTTCACAAAACCCTATGAAGATGATGTAGCCATCAGACCCATTTTACAGACGAAACTGAGGTACAAAAAATTCCTGGCCAAGGTCACATGGCTGGTAAACAATAGAAGCAGGGTTAAAACCTTAATCTGTTGTCTGTCTACAGAACCCAAACTCCAAACCATTACACTACCCTGTCTCTAATCAGAGTGTAGGCAGAGGCCTGAAGATGGGTAGGATTTAGCAGAGGGGGAGGAGGGCTTCTTGCAGACAGGACTCTCCTCTCTTTGTGCCCAGGGTACTCTATGTTCATCCCATACCACAGACATTATTACGTTCCCCAATAACAATGTTTCTCCCTGGTATTTCCCTACTGGTCTACGAGCTCCTTAAAGGCAGGTTTCATGTCTCACTCATCCTTGGTTCCCCCATGCGAGGCACTGTGACTGGCACACAACAGGCACTTGCTAAATGTGTGTTGAAAGAACAAGACACAGTGATAGGAATGAGAATTGACTATTTAAACAAAAATAACAATGTGGCGTGGAGTTTATAGCACATGCATAAGTGAATATATTACAACAATAGCATAAAGTCCAGGAAGAGAGAAATGGAAGTACACTATTGTAAAGTTCTTATACTATATGTAAAGTTGTATAATATCACTTGAAGGTAAACTGTGATAAGTTACAATACTATAAACCCTAAAGCAACTTTTACAATAACAAGTTATAGCTAATAAGTCAACAAAGGAGATAAAATGGAATCATAAAAAATATTCACCTAATACAAAAAGGTAGAAAAAGAGAGGGTAAAAGCAACAAAGAAAAGGTAAAATAAAACAATAATAAGATGATGGGTTTAAACCTAATCATAATGATAATCACATTAAATGTAAATTGTCTGAATACCACAATAAAAAGGCAGAGATTGTCAGATTGGATAAAAAATCAAGTCCTAACTATATGCTGTCTATAAGGAATGCACTTTAAGTATGAAGACAAAAGGAGGTTAAAAGTAAAACAAAACAAAACACAGAAAAAGATATAGTATGATAACACTAGTCAAAAGAAAGCTAGGTAGCTACATTAATATCAAACACAGTACATTTCAGAGCAAATAATATTACCAGAGTAAATGAAGGTCATCTCATAATGATCATGGGTTCAAATCATCAAGAGTATATAATAATCCTAAACATTTATGTACTTACGAACAAAGGTTCAAAATATATGAAGCAAAAACTGATACATCTGCAAGGAGAAATAAATAAATCTATACTTATTGTCAGAGATTTCAAGGCTCTGTCTCAATAAGTAAGAAACAAGTAGATAGGAAATTAGTAACAACATAGATTTGAACCTTCTCAACAAACTTGACCTAACTGACATTTAGAGAACACTCCACCCAAAAACTGCAGAATGCACTTTCTTTTCAAGTACTCACAGAACATTTGCCAAGATAAACCATTTTCTGGGCCATAAGACAAGTCTCAACAAATTTAAAGAGATGCAAGTCATACAAAATATTTTTTCTATGATGTAATTAAATTAGAAATCAATAGTAGAAATATCTCTGGAAAATCCCCAAATTACTGGAAACTATATAACACTTTTCTAAATAATCCACAAGTCAAAGAAGGCAGTATCAGTTAACTAGGTACCTACAGTGTGCTAGGCATTTTTATTAGGTTCTTTATCTACATTATCTCTAAGCTTTGGGATCAATAATAAGATAGGTATTATTAATTTCATTTAACAAATGAGAAAACTGAGGTGCAGGGAGGTAAAGTAACTTGTTTGAAGAATGTTATATATTTAGAAAGTGGCAAGCCACATCTCTCTAACTGTAACGTTCAAGCACTTTTCATTGAAGCATGTGCTTCTCCAAAACTCAACATAAAATCTCCATATGTTTTGCTTCTCTATTACTTTGCATTACAATCTTACAATTTGATTTTTAAAATATGACGTTGCAACTGACTTTTATTTATTTTTTGCAACACACTTCCAATGTGTACTGGTTGCCTTCCAGAGAAAACTGCATTCTCCTTAAACGAAACAGTCCTCTCATCTTTTCTGTCTCAACTACTCATCAATGTGCCTAGTGGGCACAGTGTTCTCCTTTCAACAGTCACTCAGCCTAAAAACTCTGCAGTCAGCAGCTTGTCAGCAGTAAGACTTTGAAATGGATATTTCCCTTATCTCCTAATTTAGGCATCCTC